TCATGCTTAAAAAACTGTTTTTGGAAGCATTTTGGAGTATCGATTTTGTTTTTTCACTGAGACTTGCATGAATGTAATTTTGTCATGAAATTTTGCACGCATGTCAAAAAGACATCAATGTTTGTTGTAAAAAAATAGATTTTTTGGAACCTTTTAAATATGTTTTTCGATTTTACTGTTGCAAAGGATGCATGTGAGCTCAAGCTCACAAGAGCACTTTTCGGCTGTAGAAGCTCTTATATGGTATTACAGTGTAGTACAAGAGCTAACCGGCCTGTGGTTCAAGAAAATGCAGCTAACCATACTCAGGCTACATGCATTGACGCAACGAGTAGACAAGACGGATGCTGTATGCATGTCGTGCTTTGATGCATGCATGTAAGGGTCCGTGAGCACTTAAAGTAAATGTAGTATTCCACCATCTTCTGCGTACTAACTCTAGCTACGAGATGAACCCAAGGGGCCATTTCATTCTTGTCTATCCTTCGGAGCACTCAGAGCTTCAGCTAGAAACGCCAAAGCTCATGGTGTTCCAGCCTGGCAACAACACCAGCTTTCTTGGCGTTTCCATGTAAAGTAAAAACGCGAGTTAGCTTGGCGTTTGAATATGAAACTAAAACATGAGCTATCTCGGTGTTTCTGTATGGGGAAGAAACGTCATGTGATGTGGCGTTATTACAAGGGTCAGATCATGAAATACTTTATGTCTGCCAAGAATTGCTGAAAAGGTCAGAACAGTGATTTCGGCCTCTTCTCATGTCCTCTCTACCCAGGATTTCACGACGCCTCTTCCCTCGTTCGATGACGTGCTGCATCCGGTGACCAAAGAGCCGTCGTCAAGATATCAGCTCTGGTAAGTGCCTCCCATCTCTCTTCTCTCTCCCTCTCCGATGCATCTTTTTTGCTTGAACCGTAACCCCACCCCACTGTTCCGCAGCACACCTCCCTCCAGCCACCGGATCTGGACAGCAGATCGACTTCTTGACGACTCCTCCGCCAATCCACGGTGGGTCAGTTCCCCTCCCCCACCCCCTCTCCATGGTGTAGTTGTCCTATCCTGCCTCGTACCAAACTAGTCTGGTTTGGTAATCACTGGGTCATTGGGCATAGAAAGAAACTAGTTTTTTTAGAGAAGGAGGATGACCCCCGGCCTCTACATCTGGGAGATGCATACGGCCACTTTATTGATTATTCTCGAGGACCTTACAAAGTATTACAACAATGTGCCTAAATCCACCATCTTAGCAACACATGCCGCTACTCCTATCCAAAAAGATGAAGGGGTGCTAGCCGGGCCCCTACCCAAACCACTCACCTAAGCCTAACATCAAAAGCCAGAAGCCGAAACATATTCGGAAGCCCCAGCCGAGCCACATACCGGGTCTGGGGCACAATCCGGTCAGACGCGCTCGTGTGTCGTAGCCGCCATCTTCCACAGGTCCGTCTTCAGAACATATTGAGGCTTCTACCTTGTCTGGCCACTCTGCCATCGACGTCATCATGACGCCAGATAGCAACCTCCTCCTGCGCGAGTCCATCTCCGTGCATCGGACGCCGAGCCTCCACAGCGCCATGCCGCCGATATCCGCCGCCATTGATGTGTGAGATGAAGTACTGCTCCACCATCCGCCCAGCCAGCACTTACTCCAAAATGATGCCCCCAGGAGGGAAATATTCATCGTCCGATCCAGAAGACCCAGATCTAGGGTTTCCCCCGGAGCATCCCGAGCCTGATGACGCAGACTGCAACGACAATGCCTCGACAAGGGAACGACATCTAAGACGCCGCCATCGTCCTCCATGATTGTAGTCGGCGCGATTTTCATCGGCAGTTGCTCCACTAGACGTGCGCCGCCGACGTCGCTGGTCCCTTCAACCAGAGCGAACACCAGAACAATGCCCTAAAGAGGGACTACGATGCAAAAGTGCCGCCATCGCTCGATCCCAAGGAGATCTATGGTTTCCCCCGTAGTTGCCCGCGTTGTCAAGGGCCAGACAAGGGTAGAATCCCGCGGATCTGCCCAGCTGCCGACGAGTCGCACCCACCACCGTGTCGACGGACGACCAGCAATCCGGCCGCGCCGCCAAGAACCGATCCGGACACGCCGCCGCCGTCCCTGGCGGCCGCGACGCACCAGATCGCAAGGCCTCCTGCTGCGAGGAATTGACGTCACCGAGGCACCGCCACCACCCGCCGTGGCGACCGGCACGCCGCCACACTCCGGCCCGGTGGTGCCGGCCCGCGCCAGCCCCACCCGAGCGAGAGGGTCCTTGGGCGGCGGCGAGGAAGGAGGAGGAGTGGGGGAGGTTCGGCGGCGATGGGATCTGGGGCCTCCCAGTCACCCATGCGGGGGGCGGCTCGGGAAGGACGGGAGGGCTTCTGTTGGGTGGGTGCGTGTGTGGAGAAAGAGATGAAGCGCTTAACCACGTTGAAAGATTCCTTTGATTCTCAGAAGGAAACTAGTTACTGTTACAATGAGCTGATAGTTTTATTTATTTGGACTATAGATGGATGTCGTGGTGTCTTGCTGTTTTAATTCAACTGGTCATGGTGATAGAAGAAAACCGGTTGCAGTGGTGTCTTGCTGTTCTAATTAAACTGCCATTGATGGATGATCAAGTGGTAGGAGGGAATGGGAAACACTACTTGAGAGTTGAGAGAAAGAGTTCTCTAAGTACTACAAATCTGTCTCATATTTTTTCAGGGAGTAACTCAATTAATTCAAGATGCATGCATGCAAATTATTGTGCAATAGTTAAAGGGCTTCTGTTGCTTCTCATTCATTCTAGTTTTTATAGTCTTGCGCTAGTGTAAGAACCTGATCTTCTTCTTGCAAAATAGTGACCAATACTGAAATTTTTTGTTTTATCCACAAGAGTTAAATATAGGTCTAGCATTATTGTTTCCCCCCTCTTCATATTGGTATGTTTAATGCCTACCCAAATTTTGGGATTGAATTTGGGACCATTGAACTAAAAACCTAAGAAGAAAACGTTGAGGGAAGTAAATTGTGTGAAGGATTACGTGATCGTTGTGCAGGTCGTAGCTGTTGTTCTGCTCGCGTGCCAGATGATGGTGCAGTAACATTAGAATATCTCGAGCTGAAGTTTATTGTTCATATATGTGTGTGGTTCAAATGCCATATGAGTTGTAGGATCGATCCCTGGTTATCTTTGATGACATTTATCTGCACTTTATTCATATAAAAACATTATTGGAGATCAGATCACTAAACTAAACAAGGTTCATTTCATCGAGCTAGTATATCTGCACTTCTGTAGCAGGGGCAAAAGCTCCTCACCTTTGTTTGTACCATGGGATTGAGAGAAAGAGAGAGAGAGGGTAGTAGCAAAGACAGCTCCAACATCAAGTAATTGTAAACATGGTCTGAATGTGTTGCTTATAAACATAGTCTTTTGAAGAAGATTTCTGTCTTGTAATTCATCTTATATTGTTCACATCATGTTAGATGCTGAGAGGAATAATCTGTCTGGCCAAACAATAATAGTGGTAGCAGTGATGGTAAGAAGAATGTGCCTTTAATCTTCTTCAGTTACCAGAAGAAGATTTCTTTACTGTAAACATGGCCTTGTTGTTGACCTTGAATCATATCCTTCATATAGGCATACTAGATGACCCGGTTGCGCCAATGGCGCAAGAAGCCAATTAGAAGCAATGTTAGTGAAGAATAAGTAAGAAATGTAGATGAAAAGATAATGTAATGGGGATTGTATTGCAGATAGTAGAATGACTTAAATTGGTTTACAGATAGTAGAATGACTGATATCAATTTACAGAAATACACTTATATATAGGCAGCCTCACAGCATATTTAGGCATCTTCTTAGTCTGATCATGGTCTTCAGAGGATATGTACGAAAAAGCAGAGTGTCAGTCGTCGGATAATGCTTGCATGGTAGACTTCCACACAGGTACTTGAAGGCCTATAAAAGGTGTTGGTTCCACTCTCAGACCATTTGGAGTAGCCCATATAGTTATTATCTCCGGAATATCTTTGCTTTCATTGGTCCATATGACACACTTGTAGAACCATATATCAAGGAAATCTCATTTTTTCAATAACTTCATGTTTGAGCAAGCCCAAAGACCATGTCAAACCCGAAGTGTTTTGAAATAATTTGACTTCATTAGTAGAAGTAGGTTTTAGCAACCACTTAGGGTACTACTTCAAACCCTTTAAGATGAAAAATGAAGGATCTTTGAAAATGTATACTTGAGCATGCATATTTTGTTATCTTATTCATGTAACATAGCTAGAGCCAAGTGGCGCAAGGTCCAAATTCAAATCCAATGTGTTTTGAAACAAATTGTGTTTCTTTAATAATTTTAAATTTTAGAAACCATTCAGGTGCATAGTAAGAATCAACTAAAAATGAAGTATTCAAACACCATTTTCGACTATTTATGCATATGGTCATTACATAGACAAATAAAAGAGGTTAGTGCCATAGGTAAAATGTACACCTAACATAATAAAATTTCACGTTTCATGGAACTACACTCCTTGTGAAAATAACAAAGTGTAGTATTGCTAACAAGCACAATGAAGGATCGGAGCAAGCAAAAAAGTTGGAAACTCAGGCAACATAGAGGTTGACAAAAAGCTCAATTTTTGCATATACATACAGTACATGTCACATTCAAAATTGAGATATACTGCTGATAACACATTACATCATCAGTATCAATCATGTGGGTTCTACTTTGCAATCACACGATTCAGACAGTTGTAAACATTTGTGATCACGATAGTGTGGTAAGTGTACATATCAATTATGTATCAGGAAAAGAATCTAGCATTAGTTCCCACTTCATTCAGAAACACATAAAAGGGCTAACAGACAGTTATATGTCCACCCACCACTCCTAGCTGTGACTTCCTGAAAGGAATGGGAATAAAAAAGACATTACAGCCTCATGTCCCTTCCTTCTTCGGCTGTTATATTCGGCATGTTCTTACCTGAAACTACACTTACAATTATTTTTCCATGTTACAAGCCCATGAATTCCTCACCTGATAGATAATAATAGTTTCATATTCCAGTTTCTCAATGAGAAATGCATCAAACAAAATAAAGATGAGCATATATCTTCATATATTAGAACTTTGAATAATTAGACATAGAATCCTCTAAATAGAGGCGCTCATATTAAAATAAATAGAAACAATACTATTTTCTTAGTACTATTTGAGAATATCCATTTTTAGCAGGTTATTGCATGGTATGGAAAATTTCATAATGGAGACATAACCTACTCTAGAAACCCATCACGGCTTACATGTGCACCCTCGCACAAGTAGTCAAATACTGAAGCACATATTTTTAGCAACTAATATGAAGTATCAGTATCAGTCTCAAACCACAAAGCCACATTATTTTATTTGTTTTATTTGGTAATAATGCAAATCGACAAAAAGCATCTAGTTGACGTCGTTTACAACATCTGAATAAGATCTATCAGAAACTTTGCATGTTTTCTATGGATATTTAGCTCTGTACTAACATGGTTCAGCCAAGTGAACTAATCACAGTATTGACTCACCTTTTTAGGACTGAATTTCAGCTTGTATCTAGACAAGTTGTGGGAAAGTCCCAAGCTCCTCGGACCAAGGTCCTGTGTGCCCAACCAAGATATAAGCTCACTAAGCTGATTTATGAGCCCTCTCATTAGCTCCATCACATCACTATTGTGAACGCAGCCAATTTTCTGCAAAAGCACATAAAACCTGTAAGCGGAACTGGTAATTCTACAGGAACAGCGCAACTAAGGAACCTAACTGACCAACTTCTCTTTTATAGCATTTCCAAGTTTAGAATCAGCAATAGTTAATGTTTCACCATCTCAATGCTTCAGCTCAAGCAACTACAATAAAGTTATACTGTGTGAGTTAGATTGAGTTAGTAAATGAAAGTATACAAAATATAAGAAACATGACTGAGAGGCATATGAATTATCTCGGCAGCTTGTCAAGCACATTATATCGCCAACAAAAATTACAATGGATATCACCAGGAAGAAGCAGGTCAGTGTCCAACTAAACCATTCATCCTCTCATTATTTTGAGCACATAGGCTGACAAAAAGTAAGTGCAGTCATGAATAAGCTGATGGAAAGTCCAGTATTCTAGGTAATCCACTGCGCAGACAAGATATCATCTATGAGCCTGCTTAAGTAAGTTCAGTTGTGGAGTGTTCCTTGTGCAGTTCATAATAGAAGAAGAAAATACAAAACATGGTATCAATGGTAATGTGATATTTTGAATACTTAATTAGAGGTTAATGAGAATTAACAATTAGTGATTACAATTATATGAATAAGTTCAGTTGCAATTGAAGTCATTTTTGTTTGATATGAGGGTAAAGTTAATTCAGTTGGGGATAGGTCACCATGTTGGCTGGTCAATTATGCACACACGGAAAGGGATGAAATATCTGAAAATGTAATAGTTACAGTGAGGACTCAAGAAAAATGTACATGTCCTCCTCTTTTTCTTGGTTTCTCATACATCTCTTTCTCTCTCTCTCTCTCTCTCTCTCTCTCTCTCTAGAACTGGCCAGTAAAATAAAATCCTTTTTATTGAAATCTCAAACATGTTTTGGTTATTTCTGCAACAACAACAAAGTAATCACTATCAAAGAAGAGAGGGGGTGGAGGAGCTACCATACCTGTAGATGGGCTGGTGAAGGTGAAGTCGCTGGCAAGATGGTGAGGTCGCCGGCAAGGAGACCCAGCTCTTCCCGAAGACACCGGCTCCCATGTGCTGCTGGGATGGGGGGCGCCAAATCCACAGAACGCCACCCTCGCTGGATGTGGCCACCCCATGCTGTAAGCCTCCGTATGCAACATCAGTAGTCTGAATATTCATCAGGTAGAAAAAAGGCAAATGCAGAGGAGTTTAGACTTACCTACCAACACCATGGTCTACATACCCAATTGATTAACTATCTCAATCAGCATACACCCAAATTAATTAATTGGATTCTATTCGTTGCGGAAAGGGAAATGAACAAGAACAAGTCAACTGCTCCATCTGTGTTCTGCCTTCTGCTTGGGCTCCTTTCTCAATCACCCACTACAAAAGTAAGAAATATTTTCGCAGAAGGCATGAAGACGATTAACAAGCCAAGCAAACAGTAGCAGGCACACTAAATAGTGATGTGTGGAATTACCTGTCACGAAACGAATTTACGTCAGGGATGTCCTCATTGATATACCAAAAGCAGGCCAGGCTACCAATGAGCCCCTTGTACCTGTTGGAAAGAAACAATAGGGAATAAAATATCGAGGACATGAACAGAAAGAATCAAGAGTGTAGTATAGGAAGCATCGAAATAAATGTCCCAAAAAATAAATGTCCCAGCAAATGACTGAAGCTTATATGCACATAGCAACATTAAAATTTGCAGGTATTTCTTGGTACAGACCAGACCTACGGAATCTATAACAAAGCATGATTCAATCTATTTCTGCACATGGAAATGAACACCATAACGAGAAGGTCAAGTCTATACCATCCCATTGGTTGACAAACTATATCGCAACCTCTGAATCAGACGGACACCATGCAAATGCGACAACAACCAATCATTGAATCTAAGCTTGCAGATACAGTCACACATAGATCGCAAGAGTGAAAGAAGGGATATAATACCTCTGGAGATTTGCAACCTGATGCTCGACAGTCTCAGCCAGTCCACTACAGGGCATCCCTCAGCAGCTCTGTAGGCATAGTTTCATTTTGTGAAAGATGGCATTTTCCTATAAGGTTTTAGAATCCATACCAATATGGAAAAATCGTGACTGTGAAATCTCGCTGCAGTTGCCGAGACCATTGCGTAATGCATCTTCTGTAAGGTACCAAACAACATGGATACTTGACCTTATGTTCCTAAAGAAAGGAAATTCGGTACTATCAAAATCCTAAAAACAACATCAGACCAGTGAATGGGATTGAAACAAAACCTAAGCAATCAAATCTTATCAAACTCTCATGCATACCCTTTGAGAAAGAAAACCGTATATCTTCAGCCAAAGCAAACAATTTTTGTTGCTTAGGTTCTATCTCAAACTAATAATATTTAGAATTTGTAGCCAACTCATTAGGATCAGGTTATCTTATCAGTATTTATCCAGTGGTATAACTTGAATATGATTATGAAGGGCCTCTGGAGAGGCCAATGTGTACTCATTACAGAATTAGTTCAGGAAAAGTAAGTTGAAACCAATGGAATACAATTGTATCACTTCACATACACCAAGAAGAGCATAAATGAGTAAACGAATAAACATTTGCTCAAGGAGACCAGATCCAATGGCTAAGCAGCTGTAGCATAATAGAGCATAGTATTTTCATTACCTCCTCTATTTCTGGCATCAAAGTCATTTGCCCTCCCTCCTCTCCAAGAAGCAAGGACACAACCAACAGTAGCAAAGGACCCCTGTGAAAGGCAAAGAAAAAGAGTCATACTGGCTTGAACCAATCAAACATAAGAAATGCAAGCAGCTAACCAAGGAAGAACACCTAATTGTGAGTGTGTTTTACTGATAATCTAGATCAAACATTGTTAAAGCAACAACCTTAAACATTACATTGAAGCAACAAATAGAAAGTGCCTACATGCTAAACAACGGGACCACTTAGCTTGATGCGGAAATTAGAGATATTAGATTTTGAAACTCCGCAAGCTGTGGTCATGATCTAAAAATTAGGACTAAAATATAATTATGAACATGCATATATCACACTTGCAAAGAGAGAGACAAAGTGCAGTTATAATTATGAACACACATATATAACTTGTGACACATGACAACTGCAACACCAAACAAAAACATGGCTTATTGGTTACCTATTTTGAATTTCTATCATCTCAAATCTGTACAGAACACAAAATTTTAACTCCATGAGCCACCATTGTAACCATTTACCACATGCATCCCGCCATAATGCCATGAACTAAATTAAGGCATCACCTGCTGTAACACATAGGGGAAAAATACTCAGAGTTGAACATGACTGAGCATACATATACAATGCATACTACTGATATTTATCACAGTGGCTGTACCCATTTCTTTCAAGTAATTTTCTTGTCATACTGAATCTACAATCTGACAAAACTGCTTGAGTGTACTGAACTTGACTATACACATGTGTGATTTAACACTAACTTTACTACGGGTTTGATTCAGTTCATCATCATGAATTTGGTTGCCACTATACACAGCAGCCAGACGATCACCAACTATTACTATGATTAGCTTTAACAAGGGGACAAATAGTTTAAGTAGTGGTTAGCTCAACAAGAATCTAAACAATCCATGGCATTCATCTCCTAAGACACATCCAATAGTTGTGAAGAAACAGTTACATCAAGGTGGGGATTGGAACAAGGACTGAGAGAGATGAGGAACATACCTAGTACAAATACAATCTCGGTCCTTTTTTCTCATCGTTGATTACCACCGTTGCCATTACGAACACCTACAAAATACGTGTTCTCAACTCCTGAATATCCCACGAGAAATAGAAGCAATGAAAAAGATGAAAGTGGACTTAAATTCAAAGAGATGGAGAGAGAGAGAGAGATCACCTTGTTCTTCACCAAGCTCTTCCTCCAGATTCATCCCCTTCTCTTTTTTCTTAGATCTGCACACATATGTTCAGAAAAACAATAAATCAAGAAGTAAAAACTGGGGAGGAAGATGACTCGGACGCAGATGGACAACCTAGACTGGGGACATGTGACGACGGCCAGCACCGCCTGGAACTCCGACCTTCCTGCTCCTTTCCTCATACCAGCGCCTCATCCTCCCTTGCTCCATGCCCACCACAAAGACCACGCCACCCTGCTCTCCTATGGCGGCGACCTGCGCCTGATCCAGACGCACGGCGCACGGCAGCAGCGGATCCAAAAAATAGCCACCCCAAAACTAACCTAAACATCAAATCAATTAGGATTACTGCCAAGAATTAGAACAAGGAAATGCAAAGAAGAAGGCACATACATGGCTGAGGGTTGAAGATGTGCGAGCTCTCGGCAAAGGTGGCCATGGAAACACCTCCGCCCTCCCGTTCGTCGTCGCCGGCCATGATGACCTGGACAAGCTTGTCGCCGTCGCCGTCGCCGTCAGAGAAGCTCGGCTCCACACCAGCAGCTAGCGGGCGCCGACTTGGGGGAGCTGCCGGCGAGGCTCTGGCCTAGGTCGGAGAGGCAGGGGATCCGGCATCGAGGAAAGAGGAGATGAGGGGACGAGCAGGGAGAGGGACGGGGCGGCGTGGGAGAGAGGAGGGAGCGAGCGAGGAGATAAGGCGGCTGCTTTACTTTTTCCTTTTACCCCTCGTCCGTCTAGGGTTTCTTGCTTTTGTTACGCAGAATTGAAGGAAAGGCACGTCATTCTTTTGACCCACACATAACGAGCCCCACTTGTCATTCGCTCTTCAAACAGCCATGGACGTGAAAAAAAAAACCGACGGCCCACCACACGCCAGCAGCCAAAAGGGAGCTACAGGGAAGGAATCCAGCGGCAGAACGAGCATCGCGCACGCGGGGGCGCTAGAATGGCGGGTAGTGTAGGAGCCTTTATATGTTAGATATGTTTAATCTGGTTCACCGTGTTCAGCGTGTAGTGATTTTATCAAGCTTGTTTCTGGCTCTCTGCTAGCTGATTGGTATGTGCAGCTAGCTGCACCTTTTTGTGTTTGCCTCTTTAGGATGGTAGCAGAGATATCCCAGAAGTTAATTAAGCTTGTCTATGGTGCTCTGCTTGTTGATTGCTAGTCATTACCACATGCTACTCTACTAGCTTATGCCTTCTAAAACCTATTTTGACACTTTTTCATGGTCTCCCATTTGAAACTGAATTTTGCATATGTAGTCTGATGCAATAATCTGCGTTTTCTGACAAGAAGCCTGAAACATGATCAAAATTGTTATAGTGTTATTTTTTGTAGTGAATGTCTTGTAATAATAATGCGTACTAACTAAGTTTTCTTTGAGAGGAAGTAAGTGTGCCTTGTACTTTTTTGTCATACAGTTTGTTACTCCTAGCTAAGTGGAGTGTGAGAAGGAAAGGTTTATGGATACGAGTAGAAATGCAAGATGAGCTTAACATTTGATACCCAAACAACAATATATTACTCTTCACTCTCAAAGCATGGCAGTACTCTGTACCAGTAGCATTTAATGGGGAGGATGGCAGCAACCATGTACATACACACGTACCACGTATGTTGATGGATGGTATTAGTTTTGATGTTTCAACAGGTAGCTAAGCCAACTGGTGTCTCCTCTACTTTGATTTGTCCGTTTGACATACTTCTGTAGTAGTACTCTTCTAACTAGAGGCAGAAAATTTTGCTGTTTGGATCAATGCTTAAATGGAGGTGTTCAGGTTCAGGTTATGTAATTTCGATGTCATGTTCAGCTATATAATTAATGTTATGGTCAGTTTGTGTAGTTCTGTAATGTTAATGGCATGGTGAGTAAAGTATAGCAGCAAGACATGAACCTTGTAGGCTGTGTGAACCAAGATATTATACTTATGGCTTTCTAAGCTGTGGTAGTGCAGCAAGACAATATATGACTGTGTTGCAATTGTGCGAATTAATAAATTAAGATGGTGTTTTAGAAGCTTCTCTTTGCTAACTACTATAGTAGGTTTGCTTACATGCTTTTCATGATATCTGCAGAGCAACAGAGAAGTCACTAGTTCAACCAAGATCTGCATGCAAGTTCAACCCTCTTTGTTGGATGCAAAGATTAATTTTTTATGGCTCTAATGCATTTTTAATGGCAAGTTGTAGTCTTTTATCTTCCATATTGTGCTTAACAAGCTATGAACCTTCAAAGATCATGGTTTTCAATGAGCGCAAGTTTCAGCCTTTAATTGTCCTTCATAGATCTTGTCACTATTAT